ATATATATACATTTGTGTATATGTATCTTTGATAACCTCTGCCTCTGCCTGTGACAAATTGCTTAGACCATTCGATAGGACGCAGCACGATATCATGGCTCTTATGAATCATTCCTTATGTGCATGACAATTCTCTGCTAACGTACCCTCACAAATTGTGGGCAATCATAATGGCTTGATTGGCTTGCAAGCCTTGGAAAAATTGTTATTAGCCCATTAAACTGTTGGCCAAGTATGAGTATATTGAGTTAGGTCTTAAACTAACTGCTAGTGCTATTTTGTATATACACTTGATTGTTTTTATAGTCATGCAGAGGTTATAGAAAATTTATTATTGCGCTTATGGATTATGTGAGAAACCGTTCCTAAATAGCCATAACTGTCTATCTCTCTCGAAAGCTTTTAAAGATTCCTAGCTCGATTATAATATCACAAAATGTAAGCTTCAACAAAATTTGGTTTATAAATTTTAAAAGTTAACATTACTAATAATTTAACAAATTGCCTTATGCAGTGTATCCACAATTCGCCAATTGTTAATGAGATTTTTGTTGGCGAATTCGGCTTCGGCTAGATTTTATGGTGTAGATCGACGTGCAAGTTATGAGCTTGGAGACGCTTGTCTAGGTTTTATTTGTTGCCGGCCTTATCGATGCTATCTGGTGACAGCTGGCGACAACAACATATGCCCCGAGAAGACGACATGGCTTTGAACTCGGCGGCTTAGCGACTGAGCTGGCTCTTTGGCTGATTTGTATATATAGTAGTAAGCGTCTAGCTGTCCAGAGAGCCGTTGCTACACGCCCCCGCCGTTAGCCACGCTGGAAGCTGTGGGCGTTTCAGTTCATTCAACTGAAGCCGCAATTGCGAATCGCGCGTTGTACCCTACAGCTAGTTAGCTTTGTTGGATCCACCCAGCGACACCTGTCTGCAGCTTACCTGATCGAATGGCTCACAGCTAAGCCACTGCCTGGGCTAACGATGTGTCCGCTCGTCGCTGTTTGTTGTGCAATTTCAATGTCATTTACGCTGGCTGATTGCATTTTTTCTTAGGCAATTGCCGCAAGACTTTCAGCTCTCCCCTCTTAATGCCCTTGTGTAAATGTGTAAACTTATTGGACTTTAGAGCCCTCAAGTACGCAGCCCTCGAGATCTTAATTTGTAAATCTTGAATAAGCTTAAAACCTGCTTGAGCTCTTTAAACACTTAGTGTAAATTTAATTAGCTTATGTAAACTCACATCAATTGCCTAAATTTACCCAAGAAAAACCCATATAAAAGGGGGGCTGCATGGAAGGGCATTTACCTAATTATATTACTTTTAATGTAATATAAAATTATATAGTTATATAGCTCTATAAATTACTTCCTCTTCCCTTTCCTTTTTCGCTTCAGTCTGTACGATTCTTGATTCTTGACTATAATTCGATCAATTTCCTTTGCTGTAAGCTGCTTAGATAGATATGGATCGCAGTGCTCTATTATTATTGGATATAATTGTGTTGCAGTTGATTTTTGCAATTTGTTGTCTCGACTCAACTTGATTTATATGTTTGTGCGCTGGGCCTTCGCTATAATAATTTACCACATCGAACGAGTTTTTCATGTTGTGCGCGCGCTTACATACCACAAATGGACCTGATCGTACTGTCTGATAAATCAAATTTGTTTCGTAGGTCCATGATAGTTTGTGTGTGCACTGATTCAAGATCTACTAGTCTTGGCATTAGTATGATCTTTATACCTATTTCGAAAACAGCATTTTTATATCAAAGTCTCTTTGAACTAATTGCTATAAAAGTTGATCATGATCTAATTTGAAATACAAGTTAATTTAAAAACTAATTTTAATTCGCAATTTTTAGACCACAGTTTATTTAGATGTATTTTGGTTGTATTTGATCTTAAAAATAATTGTTGTTTTTTTTTTTTTTTATTCTAAATCTTTATTTTCGTTGTATTTGATCTAAGAACTAATTGTAGCTCACAAATTTTAAAATTACAACTAATTTTATTTTAATATTTTGCAGTTTCTTGTTATGAAAACTAGGACTCTTAAGCATTTTAATTCTATTATATTTAAAATATATATAAGACTACGTTTTTTATATATTGATGTATCAGAATTACTCTAGCTTCGCATTTCAATAACTTGTTGGAGTTTCAATTTTTCAACATTTGACACTTATGGCATTAATCAACTATAATCAGCTCTATTTATAACTGGCCATATGGTCATAATCAAGTTTAAATTGCTTTCATAATTATCATAATTTTTCCTGCATTGGCCAAAACTAGAAAATCTCTAGAGCCGAAAGAAAAAAAATGTTGTTTTGAAATTTTCCAACCACATTTTGTCTTTGATATTTTGTCTGGCATTTCCCATGTTGCTCTATGTTGTTGTTGTTTCTGCTGCTGCTGCTGCTGCTGTTGTTGTGGTCTGTGTTGGTACAGCTATTATTACAACAACAACAGCAACAGTAACAACAATATATGCGATAATTTTTCGCTCTTTTGACCATATTTGATAGTTGATGTAATTACGCCCAAGGCGGCGATGCAGCCAAGCGCCCTCATTTATGACGCTTTGCATACAATAATAACAACTTATATACAGTGTTGTTGTTGTAGTAGTAGTAGTAGTAGTAGTAGTTGTTGTTGTTGTAGTTGCTGTAATGCAATTTGTTTAACGCTTCGTTTATTACCAAAAACAGCAAACGCATTTGAGACGCCCGACTCGGATGTTGTTGCTTGTTGCTGTCGCTTGTTGCTTGTTGTTGTTTGTTGTACATCTTGGTCATGTGGGCAGTGGCAGTTTGTTGAATGAAACATAGTTTTGCAAACTAAAATCGAAGCTTGAAATACACTAACAAAGTAAAGTGAAAGTTATAAACACAGATGACAGAACTATGAAGCAGCACAGATACAGATTTTAATATAGAACCTTATGATATATAAGAAGCATTAAATGAAGATTTAATAGATCAATTAAATTATCCATTATCCATAAATTAAAGTTATACTTGTAGAAACTCATAAATTTATAATTCATCTTAAGAGTTCAGTTCTTCATAGAGAGCTCTACAAACGAATAAACCTTTGGTATATCAATATATTATATATAGTATAGTTGAATACCTTTGTATTTCTGCAAACTTCTTAAAATTAAATCATATTTCTATATTCCACAGAAATAACTTTCATTTAAGATCCTTAGTTCCTTAAGATTTATAAACAAATAACAATTTAAAATATATGCAGTTACAGAGTATACAGATCATTATAGACTTCTGCCTATATTATCCATCACAACTAACATAACTTTTTGCATACCTTGCTACCTTCCCCCACTCCCCCCTTCACCTTTGCAATTGCTGCCTGCAACATCTTGGCAGCGTGTCCAGTGAATTGTGCGGGCGTGGCATGACCAGCCTTTATTTATTATCATGTTTGTGGTTGCCTCCTCCCCGTGCTCTGCTCTGTGTCAGCTTTATATATTTATTTAAGTATGTTATGGCACGGGTCTCCGTCTCTCAGGTTGTGTTTGCCCGTGGGTTAGATGTCAGTGGAACAGCAATTACTTGTCCACGTTTATGACTGCAATTGTTGGCTGTGAATTGTGCTTTGGCTCCGTTCGGTTMGGTTCGGTTTGATGTGCTCTGCTTCAAGCTAATGCAATTCATCTACATGTTTGATATGAGACGAGCTAAAGAGTGCTTAAGGCGCGTCACTCAAGCATTACTTGGGCTACTCGATTTCCATTCTGTGAAGTGAGTGGCATACTTAAATTTAATGCTTACAATTTTCCAAGTATAGTTGCTCTTATCAAATTAGTCAGGCAATGGACTCTACTGAGCTTTGCAATCCCTCGCTACCAATAATAGAATCTATATTACCACAGTATGATATTTATAGATTATAATGTATATATTTATAGATCTATAAGTAATCATGATCAGAGTTACCCAAAAACATATTGAGAGTAATCCAAAGGCTCTGATTTTAAATCTAGGGTAAACTTTACTATATGCATATCTAGTATACCTGCATATATGTGTAAAATTCCTCTAAATAACCCTACTCTTTATATTCCAAATGACAGACATATAGCTTAACAAAAAACCCATATACTCTCTTCCCACTTTATGAGCGAGCAATAAAAATATGTTAGCTTTAACCTTGACCGTCTACCCTGTGAACTTGTGCTCTTCACTCGCTTTTGTTTGGCATTTTGGTTCCTTATAATGCGAGACAGGCCCACATAGTATAATGAACATGAACAACTTAATGATATAACAATGCCCCGATAGCGATAAAGCAGCTCTTTCTCCAGTTTTAACTGTTCCGCTTGCTGTGTCAGGTGCAGCTCAAAAGCTGAAATGACCTTCTATTGTTTTGTTTTGTTTTTTTTTTTCTTTGCCACGCCCCAGAATCTACAAACTAAAAATAAATGTGAAACAACTAAGTTTTTAACATAATTATGTTATAATTTTTTTATGTATATTTTATATTTGATATATTTTGTTTTTAACTGTTGTTTTTCTGCTTCTCTATTCGTTTCAGGTAAGACATACACTCAATGTGCCAAGCAAACAACAAATTCTCACCATAAATCATCGAAACAAAAGGAAGGTTCATGGTTAATATCTGCCGATGTCTTCGGCAAAGTGGTAGAGCTTATAGAGAGAGATAGAGATCGAGGGACTTTTGACTACCTAAGCTAAATTTGTATGAACTAGTTTTTTATTTTTAATTTGACTACTTTAAAACTTGATATATATGCAGGCAGTATAAAAAAAAAAAAAAACAACAACAAAACACAAGAAAACTATATATAACATTTATATAGATATCAGCAGTTTCTTGAATAGAAATATTAATAAATATTTTGTTTTTTCGTTCAATATTTGATTGTTATTTTTTAGCATATAATTCAGTTCTTATATATTTAAGTTTAATATTACTTTTTTCTCGATTTTCTTTTTCTTAAATGTCATTTGCTTCAATTTGTAATTCCAATTTTTTTGTAATTCAAGCAAAAGGTCTTTTGCATCCATCGTCTGGTTGACATTTTTGCTTGACTTTTCGGAATATTTTCGTTACCAGCAATTTTTTATTTGGTATATTTTTTTTTCCTTCGATTTTCTGGGTGTGTTTTTTATGGCCGACCCCATTGATAAAATTGAGTTTCGTATGGTAATTTGCACAGCTTTGCATTCTTCTGCACTTGTGCATGACAAGTGGGCGCATTCGCTGTCTATAGATAGGCTCGATACGTTCGCATACCAGACATCTGAGTCAAAATACCAAAATGCAGAGGCCAATTAACAAATTGTTTACTTCTGACTGGATAAAATTCTGATATGCAGTTATTTATTTACTTTATATTGATGTAATCTTTTATTGAATTGAATTGAATTTTACCCAAATCTGCTTTATATATTATTTTTAAACTTTATATCACGTGAAAAAAATATTTTAAAATATAAATATAAATATATTGAAAATACATTTTATAGGAATATAGTAAATATAAATATACATATATTGCTATACAAATGTATAATTTTTTACATTCAATGAGTATGAATAAATGTTTGTTTTTCGCTATATTCAGTTTCAACAGGATATATACATAATAATTAAATGTCTCAGCAATAAAAAATATTAGTAATTTAAACTAGTTAGGCATAAATATATTTGAATATATGCATAGCTAAACTTAATTTCCCCCAAAGCTCATTTGGTCATTTGATTTGTTTACACTCTTACGTTTCCAATTTCATTTCAAGTTGTTTTCCATCATTTGGTTTTTCTTATAGTTTTTCTTATTAACTTTCTGCGCCTACAACTTCCGCTTCAGCTAGCAGCACGAGCCAAGTTTGGCGATATAAACACATGTCTATATATACAATATATATCTATGTATGTATATGCGCTTCACTGATTGCTTTATGCAAATCGTTACGCGTTTGTTCCATGACTCATGACGACGATCAGTGACGATTGACAGTGTCTGCTGCCTCCCCTCTGTCCCTCTCTCTATATATCTGTGTATCTACCTCACCTGCCACGCCCACAAATGCACAAGTGCCGCACTCTGGGTGCATTGAACGCATTTATTTTGCACGTTTCTCTTTTGCTGCATTGCACATTTTCGCTTTTCCTTTTAATTGACGTTTCTTCTGTATGTTTTGCTCTGACTTTTCCTCAATCGCCTTCTCTTATCTGTTTTTTTTTTTTTGTTTTATATGTATCTACTCCAAATCTGTGGCTCGGCTGTAAATTGGGTATATTATTTGTGTTACAATTTATCCAAGAGGCAGAGCTGATCGTGCGAGATGTGATTAAGTATAAATAGTTTTGATAAGGAGGCGAATAAATTTGTTGTGTGCGAACAGAAAGAGAAGTCTACCTATATGATCTTAGAAACTATGAGGCCTAAAGGCTTTATATATTATGTGGAGCCTCTCTTGACACCTGCAGATCAGGTTTTCTAATCTATAACTCTTATTATTCAATTGAAATCTATTAAAGTCGATAAACGTTAATGAAGATATTTTAGCACATTTCAAGTTCTTGACTCAATTATTTTATTGATATTATTTTAAACTAATTGAAATTACTAACTATAGCTAATATACTGTCTGCTAGAGCCTTCAGATTTCTTGAGTCATCTAATTAGTAATACTATTCTCCATTAGTATAGCAAATATCAAATAACTGAGTTTTTAAATAATTTTCCACACTCTTTAAATATCCATTTCCATTCCTGGATAGCTGCTGGTCGCGTATACCCTACTAAAGCACTCTTACTTGTTATTTTGTTTCTTGTTTTTTTGCACTTTGTGACTTTACTTTCGCGTCTACCGCAACTTGTTGCAACTGTGCCACTGACTCTGCAGCTGGTCGGTCCCCTCTGTCGGTGGTTTGTTACTTTTTATGGCTTCCAAACTGGGCTTTGGGCTGGCCTCCCTCCGCCCCCTCGTGCCACCTTTGCTGCCTGCCTGSCTGCAGAACAACGAACTTTGATTTCATTCGACCAAGTGGACAGGCCATAAATCATAAGCAAAATCGAAAAAAAAGAAAGCGTTGACTACTAACGGAAGTGCTGAGTGCTGAGCCATGGGCCTGGCCCCTAGAGCGTTGCCATTTTCGACCCATTGGGCGAAAGTAAATCGAAATTAAAGTACGTTTTGTACGGCTTTTAAATGTCACTGGTTGATGGCCTTAAACGAGGGGCAGGCAGGTTTATGTTGATGTTTTTTATGACGCTAAAATTCATAATAAATATCCATACATAAGTATTTGAATATATGTATATGTATATATCAGTATGTTGGATTTCTTTCTTGTAATATACGATCTTCTATTTATATATTTGGCAGAGCTTGCTGCGAGTTTAAGTAGATATTTATCTTGAGTCCTCCTTCTACCTTGATCATATTTATTATCAAAAACTAATCTCATTTATTTATTAATGATAAAAATCCATAAACTTTTTCCTCATTTATTTTATTTCTCCAATTACTAAAGCTCCAGCCTTGTAGGCCTCACCAATTTCGTTATACAAGATATCATATATCTCCTAAACATAAATAATATAATTTGTGAATAGTAAGAAAATATCCAACCTTGTTTAATGGAGTTTTAGTAATTTGTTTGAAGCTCAGTTTCCGTTACGCACCGAATTGTTGGAGTTGGAGTTTAAAGTCATAAATTGATAGCTGTTTCATTTTCTGCTCTGCTCGTCAAGAGCAAAGGTTTCAAAAGTCGAGTCAGCTCTTTTGATAATGGAAGTTCGTCATGAGCGAAATTCCCACAATTAGCTCACTGCTACCTCTGGCCTCTGTTAAAGAGTCACTCATTTAAAGCAAACAAAATGCATCAGAAAAGAGTCCCCAGGCCACGTATGTATGTATGTATATGAATCATGCCAGTGACTCGAATGGTTATTGAAGTACTTGCTATTTGGTATTCGTGTACAGGAGAGGTTAGGCCACAGCCTGGAGCCAAGTCAAGCTTGAAGAAAAGAGATTTTTGGAGTTGGCCAGGTGTGCAATGGCATATGGAATTGTGTTTGGGCGCTGCAGGTGAACTCGGCGCCCTGCTCAGGTAGAGCCAATCAAGTGTGACCAAATTGATTACAGCTGCCAACAAATCCTTGACCCATAAATGTCGGCTGGGCACATTTCGAGTGTCTCGGCATTTCCGTTTTGTTGCCAATCGCCGAGCGCAAATAGCAAACATAAAATTTAGTTAATGAAAATAATACACCCAAATCAGAGTTAACATTTGCACAGCTACGCCCAATTGCCAAGTATTTTCAACAGCTTGAAGGTCTCATTTTTTCTAGCCCTTTTGCTCTTAAGCTGTCATTAAACACTTTTTGTTGTTATTGTGAATTGCACAATTGTGAATTGAAATCATAAAGTAAATTGGTGGAACGATAAGCGAATGGAATACATTACATTAATGAATCAATGCGAGCAATTAAAATATATAAAATATAAATATTTCAGTTATAGCAAAAGCTTTTTAGATAACGAATTGAATGTAAACATTTTGTTCCTCTGTAAAAATGGTAAGACTGTAAGAACAGTTCTTTTTATTATTTATTCATGCCTTTACAGAGCACTGTAACTGTTTACAGAGCTTTCATAGAACAGTTTACAGAGAGAGCACTTTAAATATTTTACAAAGCACTGTAAGTAGTTTACAGAGCGAATGGGTAAGTGCTTTACAGTGCTCTGTAATGTTTTGGGCAGGAATACTGTAAAGCTTGTAACTGAAGGCATAACAGTCTTTGAATCACCTGAAGCAATTGTATTACGAGGTGTGCTTGAAAAGTATATCGAACATTTAATTTTAGCGTATATTTAAAATTTACTTTGAGGGGCAAAATAATGTATTCATAAATAAAGTTTGCAATTCTTTCTACTTGAAAAAGAGATTATGAGCTAAGCTCTGCTCACTACAACATACATAAGTTTAAAGGCGGATCTATATGTGTTGTTGCTCCCAGAATGAGAGAAGTGTTAAGTCATGTTGTAAGAATTTAAATGCTCAAATTATATTTTGTTATTGATGCTGTAAGAGGCTGAAAGTTCAACGTGCTCTTATTTCAGTTAATAATTTTATATAGATTATGAATATAGATATGAGTTCTTTATTTCGTTTTTTTTTTACATATTATTTCATTAAAATTTCAAATTATACATAACAAATTTTGGTAAAGCGGGGAATTTTGTTGTATAATCTCTGGTAGTGATTCATGCTCAGCTCAAATATGACTGTTCATATGTATTTCAAGAAAACCAAGTTCTGTCATCGAAAAAAAAAACTTGGAAATTTTTCAAGCTAGGCAACTTTCTTAAAATATATTATAATATATGCCTTCCTTTTGCAGAACTTTAAAAATAGAGCTAAAAACTGTAAAAAGTATATTCAGAAAAGAAAAAGCAAACCGTGAATTGAAAACTAGTTTCAGCTTAGTCTTGGCTATTCAAGCGTTTTGCCTTCTTCTTGCTTTTATTGTAATTAAACTGAACTTTGGCAGAAGAACAAGGTTTTTTTCTGAGCTATCCAACTATTTGTTGTAGGGTTCTTTCCAGTTCGTTTCGTTTCGTTTCGTTTCTAACATTAGCATATTCTTTGCCTTTGGGTGGGTGTGTTTGACCACTTGAGCTGGGTGTGACCAGCACCATTTTGGATACGCGAGCCGTGAGCCGTGTGCCGTGAGTGGAAGCCATAGGCGCTGATGCCCGTAAGTGGTTTGGC